TTTTTTAATCTGCTGTTCGTGGATAGACGAGGGCCCTGACTGAACTGCTTACCGAAAGGCAGCCCGAGTTTCAACTGCAATTGAAACTCGGGCCCTGACTAAACTGCTAAAACGCAGTTTCAAATGCAATTACAAACTGTTTTTGTGACTGCGCCGAAGTCACCCCTTTTTCAATTTTTTGGGCCCGGCCGGGCAAGTGACCCCAGGCCACTCTGGTAGCCTAGGTCATTATAGTATTACGGGGCAGCGACATCCGTGCTCAAGGCCTGGTTGCACTACTCTCCATACGCCAAGTTTGGTGAGTAGGCGCCTGGTTGCACTTACTCGCCAAACTTGGCGAATGAAAAATATGTCAGACTGCTCGCCACTGTCGCCAGACCGTCGACACAAGTTATGGCGAGTGTTTTTGGTTTCGCTGCCTGTGCACGGCGGTTTGTGGAGGATGGTCCTCGGACCTCTCCACAAAACAACTTTCTGGAGAGTGCACGGCTTCACGAGTCGACATCAGGTAGACAATTGTTCTTAACTTTTCTGAAGAAGAAATATAGTGGCGAGTAAGTGCAAGCAGGGGCGAGGTCCCACTAGCAATGGGATAGGATAGAAACGATTTTGTGAGGCAGTTGAGTGATCCAAATCCTGCCGTGCGGTACTCGTGATCCCACGGTCAGTACTTTACATGTATTACCCGAAAAAGTAAGGAGATCTTTGTTCCCCTGCAAAGAAAGCTTCCTGCCAGAATCTTTTCAATCGGTTGGGGGTGTGGCCAACCCCAAAAGAGGGTGGGGTCGGCCATAGGCCCACTGGATAGAAGATTTTCAGTATTTTACTTGCTGTTGTGCAATTATCTCATTGGGTAGAGCTCTACTTCAATCACCGAGTATATGGAAGGTGTCAGGATCACTGCTGACAGAAGTTGAGTTTATTCCAGAAAATGTGGCCGTTACTTCGTTCACTGTTGTTGCAACCACCACCATCAGATCATTTGTGATCTGATGGCTGGGAAGCACTCTGCCATGATATCCGGTGGCCTTTCTCCTGTTTTCTCAGCCCATAAATTTGTAATGAGCCTGTTAGCTGGCTGCCACTCAGTGTCACACTGGATCGGCCACACTCCTATCCCACTGCTAATGGGACCTCGCCCCAGGGGCCTCGTCCCACTAGCGAAGTATTCTACGATGCGTGACAGCATTTTTGTATTTTTTAATGGATTTGAAGTGGTTTTAAAATGAATCAAACCAAATTCATTTCAGGTGGTTCATTCGGACAAGTAAAAAAATATGAATGAACTGTGCCAAGGAAGACTCTGAGTCCAAATGCATGTGCAGTATTATCCTCAGGTTGCCAGGCCCTACTTCACTGCAATAAAACTGCCATGTCTGAGGGAAAGATAATAACTGCGCCCCCCCAAAAAACAAAAATTGTAGTACCGCAACGCGTAAACAGCAACACGCAAAGTCTCGAAAACGCACCCACCTTCCGAAAGTCTGGAAATCCAGACCAAGGTCATTGTTCAATATCAAAAAACAAATCCAGTACAGGCCACTTCATTGGTAGGTGCTTTCTCATGGTCACCACTGTATACTGCATCAGGCCGGGCCGTAGATGCAAAGTGAGATGTGCTCTTCGCGTCTGTCACCCCCAGCCGCACGTGATCGAAAACGTTAACGAAGAAGTAGACCTTCATTCTGAATAGATGAGCCCTGTAGCATGCTAGCTTGCTAGTGTGCTGTCGTCACATCTGCATGTTTGTTCACATAAACAGTTACAATGTTCCGGGATGCTGGGCCCGATTTCCAGCAGGAGCTGCTCCCCACCAATAGATGGAGCCTCCCCGGCGGTGCTAGTGCTGCCTGCTCTTACCAGCACCCCTAGCTTCCGCTCGGCTGCTCTTCTTCTCCTTCAAAAACAAAAAAAACAAAAAAGAATACCTCAATAGTGGGAAGAGGCCCCGGGAGAACCTTGTCCCACTTCGTCCGTTGAGCTAGGTCCACATTTAGTTTTCTAGGCCGTGCGACTGTAGGCGACGAAGGAGATGCACACCCTCACAATCATCCAGAGGTCCGCTCTTTTTTTAATTGTGAACAGATATTATTGCGTTTTTTATTCCAACAAAAAAGTTCCAAAAATGATGTTTTCTTGAATGCTATGCCCCCTACCCTCGCCACTTTCCGTTGAGCTAGCTGTCTCGTTTTTTGGAGACAGCCAGGAGCACGGTTCCACTAGCAAACGAGTCAGGGACTATTATGACCTGTGCGACAGGTTGAGAAAAGAGAAATAAATAAATTTGAAAGACATAATTAAAAAAAAATAAAAATGGTGAGGAGGTTGACCTTTGAAAGTTCTCCAAAAGGCAGCCGTCTTCTTGAACATCAGAATCGACAGCTGCCGCTGTGAGAGTCACCTTTGTGGCCTCTTCACATGAGCTAGGAGGCGTCCATCTCTCTCTCTCTCTCTCTCTCTCTCTCTCTCTCTCTCTCTCTCTCTCTCTCTCTCTCTCTCTCTCTCTCTCTCT